CACCCACTGGAAAAAATAATTTGAGAAGGAGTTAGTCGGGGGGTGCGGTCAGATAAATACTAAATTAAAATATAGTAATTATTTTATTTTAATTTTTCCGACGTTTCGGCCCACTTTGCAGGTCGTCTTCAGGGCGTAGAAAGTAGCACTGCGGAAGGCAGTTGAAACACTGGAAAAAGTAATTGTTGCTGGCGTTGGGTATCAGTGATATAATTTTAAAGGAAATGTGTGTCAGTGCTTTATTTTGGTAGATTAATTTTAAGTGTTTACATGCCGTTGCTGAGTTTGTCAGAATAACTATATTTTTGGTTGATATATGTGTAATATATTATGGCGTTAAGAATGGCATATAGTTCGGTGCTGAAAATACTGAAATCAACTGGTATTGATAGTGAAAATTTCTTGTTCTTTTGGGGATCATACACAACTACAGAAGTTCGGTTACTTGTTTTTGATGCGTCTGTATAAATTTGTAGATAATTTGGGTAGCGGTCCGTGATTGTGTTTAGTGTTTAGTGCTAATTGTTTCAAATAAATTGGAGGGTATGAACTTTTCTTCTCTAATTTACCAGCTAGATTAGAGGAGCTGTGGATATTAATTAAAGATTTGAGAATGGGCGTTGTGTATTCTAGAGGAGCTTTCGAAATGTGTAGTGATTTAATTAGAGGCTGTAATTCGTTAATAATAAAAGATAGTTGGGGACAGAACACGCTTCCACTTCTAATTTCTTTACCTACAGGATGATTATTGTCGGAATACACTTTGAGGATGTATTTTTCGTTAACTATGACCTGATGTGTAATGGCATCTCTCCGGCTGAGGCCTGAAGCGCGTTTACTGGAGAAGTTTTGAAAGCACCCAAACATAACCTTATGGCACAGTTTTGTGTTGTATTCAACTTATTAATGAGGGGGATTTAGTTTGATTGTATACGACACATCAATAATCAAAATTAGATCTTACTATTGTTTTGTAGAGAGTGAGCATGTTTTGTGGGTGAGAACCCCACGATACTCCAGCTAACGATTTTAGTATGTTTAAGTTTTGCAGCGACTGTGTGTGAATATTTTTTGTATGAGTTTTGAAATTTAATTTAGTGTCTAATGTTACGCCTAAAAACTTTAAGTGTTCTTCGCTTTTAACTGTGTATTTTTCATTTGAAATCTCAAAATCTTTGAAGTTAATTGTTCTTTTTCTAGTAAAAGGAGTAATTCTGCATTTGTTAGGATTAATTTTTAGGTCTACTATTGAAAATGCTGTGTGTACTGTTGTGAACAGTGAATAGAAGTTAAGGTGGATAACTTCATAGTGCCACGTAGTTAGATATCAACAGGTCAGTTGGGCTGCGGCCCTCAACCGGTGCAGTTGCTGCGGCCTGGACGCCGTGGATTAATTGAAGGTCAAGTTCAAGCAGACGATCTTTTTTTTAACATATCGTACTAATCATCCTGACGGTAGGGCACATGCCGGTACTGCTGTCCTTGTACACCAATCTCTCTCTCATCAAATACTCCCAACACCAACCCACGATTTCCTACAATCCACTGCTATCATAATCAAAACCTTCTCCTTTCCTATTACCGTTGCATCTGCGTATTGCATTCCTAATCAATCCATCTCCAATGCCCAATTCAGTTCCCTCCTCAATTCCTTAGGACATCATTTCATCCTTGGTGCAGACTTAAACTCAAAGCATCAACAGTGGGGTTCAAGAACCACGAACTCTCGTGGTAGAACATTGCTGTCTGCACTCTATTCCCAACGTTTCTACCTCCTTTCTCCTAACTCACCTACCTACTGGCCCACTGATCCTAACCGCAATCCTGATATCCTTGATTTTTTCATCCAAAGTGGTTTAGGTCCCCTCAATCATTCTCTTACCCGTCTTGATGACCTTTCCTCAGACCACAGTCCTTTAATACTCCAAGTATCACTAGCTCCTATTCCTAAACTCTCTCCACCATCCTTCATCAGAGGTCCAGTCAACTGGAAACTCTTTCAGCAAATCCTTCCCGATCAAACTTATCTCTGAATAACCCTGGAAACCGCAGAAGACCTTGACAATGCCGTACATTCCTTTACCACCATGATTCAACAAGCAGTCTGAACTGCTTCCTCCTCAAATCACTCTCCGAAGATCCTTAAAAAAAATAACTTACCTCAACATCTCCTCGACCTAATCCGTATCAAATGCCGTATCAGATCATTATGGCAACGCATCAGACATTCAGCCGACCTATAATTATTACTGTAAGCAACTGAAGCATGAATTATCCTACTTCAGATCCCAATCCTTTAAACTAACCTTGCCGCTCTCTCCACTCATGACAATTCCATTTGGAATATCACCAAAAAAATCCTAAAATCCCACCATGTTTCCCATCCCCTCCGTCAAAGTGATGGCTCCTGGGGGGCGTCAGATGAAGACTAAGCTGAGGAATTCGCCAAACACCTCTTCTGCACATTCACTCCTCATCCGGAATCCCATCCTACCCACACTGCAATAGTAGAAGAATTCCTCTCTTCACCAAACCCACATAACATGGAACCCACATACCAGACTTAAAAGACAACAGCTTAACCGACGATATGGCCAACTATATAGACTACTCAATAGAAAATCTCAACTTTCAGTTGAGAACAAACTATTAATCTGCAAGACAATCCTGAAACCTATCTGGGCCTACGGACTCGAACTGTGGGGGACAGCAAAACTTTCTAACATCAAACACATTCAATCCTTCCAGTCTAAAGTTCTTCGAACAATAGTCGATGCTCCCTTTAATGTAACCAATAAAACCCTACACAATCACCTTAATATCCAATTTGTACTTGACCTAATCCCAGACAAATTTTCCAAATTTCACCAGAATCCCACAATCCTCCTCGGAGGTTAAAACGGCAGTGGACCCGTAACCTTTTGTAAAAATGTATACATTGGAGTACTGGCACTGGCCAGATTCTTTACTCGTGTCCTGAGTGTCTGTTGCTCTAGTGCCCTCCATCAGTCTCCACTGGCTTACTACATCAGTGACGCGGCTGGGAGAGAAGCACTGGGATCTCCTGGAGTCCTGCTTTGGCTTCCATAGTTGGGGGACAAAGCTTGATTCTGAGTCCCCTAGGCCAATGTGAATATTGTACATAGATGTGATTGTGTTTTATTTATTTTATTATTATTCGGCTAATCTGTTATTTTATTTATCTTGTATATTACTTTATCTTTATATATATATATATATTTCCCCCTTATGTGCATATTGTGTGAATGAATATTATAGTCCTAGAACCAATGCCCTTCAGTGTGGCAGACTGTATTAATACTCAATAAAACAAAACAAAAGAGATTTGAAAGTATATTTGTATATTCAACCCATCCAATGATGATAAATTGTACGCCTATTAGTTATTAAACTGTTATTTTTCATTGTAAAGTTTACTAAAATGAAATTACGAGATTTTCATTGTCTCATTAGTGTTGCCCAAAATTGGTCTCGCTCTTGCAGTCTTGGTCTTGATCTTGCATTTTTGCAAGACCAAGACCAGACCCTCCAAGTCTTGCGCAATACCATGACCAGACCCTGCAGGTCTTGCAGTTAAGTCAAACTGAGACTATTTTCAGATATAGTAAGGTGCTTAATATTTTAATCATCTATTCTAAACAGCGTTGTTTTTTCTTGTGGAATTGTATATTTGAGTATAGCTTTCCAAATTATAATAAAAAATTAATTTTTTTTTTTTTGTTCTTCCCTACCTCGCCATTTAGGTTACACGGAGGTTTTCGCGGGCCAAGGGGTGAGGTCAGGGAATTAATGCCAGAGTTGAAAGAACTCATAATTATTTTACTGTCTCCAACTTCGGTTATCAGGTTGCCGGGCAACGCGCTGAGCTGTGCACCTGCCCCTAAAAATTAATTATTTTCCAGAACCGGAACAAGATAAGTAAACAAAACAAAGAACGGTTTTCATGAAGAAAAATTACTAAAAATACTAGGCCGTTTTAGTTATTATAATTAAACTTCTGTTCTCAAGAAGCGGACACTCACAGGGAATCAAAAATTGCCTGCTATAGAGAGATGTATGTTTAAGAAAAATTGGAAGATAAACTGTAACATATTTTATTAGGGCCTTTATAAATTGTAATTGTTAATAGAACTCATGTTCATGTTTTGTTCTTTTATTTTTTTGAACTGTGTGAAAAGGAGCATTTATATGTAATATATTTATAAATTTAATTTATTTCTAGATATTGTATTAATTTTAGTTGTGATTTAATTTAAAATTGTAAAAAACAATAATAACATTTAACTAGCGCTAAAGATTAAAAGGTACGATGTATTAGAGCTAACGGACGGGAGGTCCTTCTCTGTCAAAGGTTGAATCCCTCTAGGCGTTGTTCTAATGAACTATTTCATTCATTTATGCAAGTCATTGTTTTTTCTAATAATGATTAATAATTTTCGTAGCGCAACCTGTTAATTGCCCAGTGAACTATGAATTTCATTTTGAAGCTATTCATTATTTCCTTTTGTAATTACTCCTTTTGTAAATAACTAATGTTTGTAATATTTTTAAAATAAGTATTCATGAACTATAATTAAATATAAATAAAAGGAGTTTGGACTATAATAAGGAGATCTCAGGGCCTAATTAAAATAATTGTTACTAGTGTTGCCTCTCACAGGTCTGAGGGCTCACTATTAGTATAAATAGCAGCCTGGCCCCTAGGGCAGGCACTCTCTCCCGAGTCACTACCTTCTCACATAGGCTCCTGGTATTTCTCTGTCTGACAGTTTGAACCAGACCAATGTGTTATTTATTGGTTTTATCTTCCTCCTTCTCTATTCTCTCCTAACCTACCTCCTCTCTCCTTTCGTATGAATAACTTGGTTGGCCCTTGTTTTCCTACAGTCCCCTTTGCATCTTCCAGGTTGTCCCTGGGAGTGTAGGGTTACCTATCCTCGCAATGTCAGGGGATTGCCTCCTCGGTTGCAGAGCCCTGGATGTGTAGGGGTTGTCCCCCTATCATTCTTGGCGGTCTTTCCTTATCCTATCCTCGCAACGTCAGGGGATTGCCTCCTCGGTTGCAGAGCCCTGGATGTGTAGGGGTTGTCCCCCTATCATTCTTGGCGTTCTTACCTTATCCTATCCTCGCAACGTCAGGGGATTGCCTCCTCGGTTGCAGAGCCCTGGATGTGTAGGGGTTGTCCCCCTATCATTCTTGGCGGTCTTTTCTTATCCTATCCTCGCAACGTCAGGGGATTGCCTCCTCGGTTGCAGAGCCCTGGATGTGTAGGGGTCGTCCCCCTATCATTCTTGGCGGTCTTACCTTATCCTATCCTCGCAACGTCAGGGGATTGCCTCCTCGGTTGCAGAGCCCTGGATGTGTAGGGGTTGTCCCACTACCATTCTTGGCGGTCTTTCCTTATCCTATCCTCGCAACGTCAGGCGATTGCCTCCTCGGTTGCAGAGCCCTGGATGTGTAGGGGTTGTCCCCCTATCATTCTTGGCGGTCTTACCTTATATACCTTATCCTTCTCATCCTATCTAAGCTTATACACCCCATTCTTACAAACTTAAATAGCTAAACGAATACCAGGTTAATTGACTAACAGAAAGATTAAAGGTTAGAAGGACAAATTTCAGATTTTAAAAGACAAACGTCGGCAATAATAGACTGACAGACAGTGAGATAAATAAAATAAAAATATTACAAAACATGTTAAAAAATAACATTTAGAAAACTATTACAACATTTTTCTTTTTAAATTGACGAATTAAATCTATTTTTATGAGAAATTTAATAATATATTTTGCATAACAATATTGCGTTTAACAAAGATAAACTTATTTGTATATAGAACAAAAACGAATAGTAATTTGTAATTTTTGTTTGGTCCAGCATAAATTTTTTTTTTCCAATTTGTTATGGATAGATAAAATCGTTACAATTATTTTTATCTACCACTATCCTCGTTCAAAATGAACATTGTTTTTCAGCCAACTAATTTGTGAGTGAATTTCTTAAATATTCATTGAGAAATTCTTTAATATTCACACAGAGATCACGAAAATGTATTGTCAGCCCAAAGGTCCAGCGCAAGTATAATTGTTCGAAATGATTGTGCGAACGCAGGAGGGTTAAGATACAAGCCTGGCGAAAACATCTATATGTTACTGCAACAACGGCATAACTCGAAAGAAATTATATTTTTGCATTATCATTTCCGTGTTGGGCCCGCTGTTCATAGTATTCGTAATTTCTTTAAATGTCTAACCACCAAGTTTTAATCGAGTGTCTAAATTGCGAATACTGAGCTTTCTGGTATACTTATTAGCAACATAACTTTTTCTTTGAAATTTAACCGGAACCATGTTGACATATTACAATCAAATCAGTGGAAATAGCAAGAAAGGGCTAAGACTCTAAATTCTATTTGAAAACCGGATTCCCTGTATTCACAATGGAACTCAGCGACAATATAGTGGATTAATGTTCTCAGATTATGAGCTTCATAATTTCCTTGAGTATAGTGATTCCTAATGTCGTGGCTCTGCAAGAAGTTCGCTGGCCAGGAGAGGGCTCGATGAGGGAAGGAAGGTACACTATTTGGTACGGAGGAAGCGGGAATCATTGTTTGGGTACCGGGTTTCTAATTAGGAGTAGATTACTATCCGCTTTGAAGGACGTACAATTCTTTAGTGATAGAATTTCGGTAGCTACATTTCAGGGACGTTGGTTTAAAATGGCATTAATAAACATACATTGTCCGACCGAAGACAGTGACGATGAAGTCAAAAGTGAATTTTACGATAAACTCGAATGGGTTTATGATAAACTACCGCGAAACTACATAAAAATAATTATAGGTGACGCGAACGCAAAGGTAGGAAGGGAAGAAGTTTATATTCCGACGATTGGTAAAGAAAGTTTGCACGAATATAGTAATGATAATGGGATCCGTCTGATAAACTTTGCCATCTCGAAAAACCTGATAATTAAAAGTACGACGTTTAAACATAAGGATATTCATAAATATACTTGGACTTCACCGGATTCGCAAACACGAAATCAAATCGATCATGTCTTGATACAACATAGCTGGCAAAGCAGTATAATTAATGTACGGTCTTATCGCGGAGCAGAATGTATTAGTAATCGCGAAACTTCGACAAAAACTTAATATAAAAAAGAGAAAAGAAAACCGTTTCTATTTTGAGAATTTTAATTTGGACAAATTAAAAAATCCATCAATTAGAACCCAATTCGAGCTAGATGTTAAGAATAGGTTTGAAGCTTTAGAGCTTCCTGACGAGGACCACGAGGATATTGACAAGTTATGGGTAGAGATCAGGGATAATATTAAAGCGGTCGGTAACTCGTGTCTAGGAAAAAAGGAAAATAAGAATAACAAACCGTGGTTTGATGAAGATTGCTTAAACATGTGCGAAAAACGAAAAGCCGCTAAATTAAAAGCTCTAAATAATCCTAGCGAAGAAAATCTGGAATACTCCCGAACCTCAAAGAATGAAACGACAAAATTGCTCAAAAATAAAAAAGGGAGTATCTTAAAAATAAAATAATTAAAATAGAAACTAATAGAATTGAAAATAATGTAAGAGACATGTACAAAGGTGTAAACAGATCACATAAATGTGTAGAGTCCGTAACATCTGGAATTAGGGATGATAATAACAATATGACCTATCCGGTTGACATATTGAATAAGTTTAAGGACCACTTTGACAATATTTTAAATACGGGAAATTGTGATCTGTGTCCTCCTTCTGAGTACCAGAGTGCTGAACCGTTAATGGAAGGACCGAGTAAAGAGGAAGTTGAATTAGCTATCGGAAAATTAAAATCTTATAAAGCAGCGGGAACCGACAATATTCCTACTGAACTAATTAAGGCATGCGGGGAAGCTGGAGTTTCTAAAATACATCGGTTGGTTAAAAAGATCTGGGTGAATGAGAAATTACCTGAAGAATGGAAAGAATCTATTCTTATTCCGATTCACAAAAAGGGTCCGAGGACGGATTGTAATAACTATCGAGGAATTTCACTCCTTCCGGTATGTTATAAAATATTTACTTTAATCTTAACCAGTCGAATCACGGAATACGCCGAGGAAATTATCGGAGACTACCAATGCGGATTTAGACGGAATCGTTCGACTATTGATCAAATATTTTCTTTACGGCAAATATTAGAGAAAAAATTGGAGTACAACGGTATTGTTCACCAGCTGTATATAGATTTTAAAAAGGCTTACGATTCTATTGACCGCCAGAAACTGTATAATATTCTAATCGAGCAGGGGATTCCTAAAAAATTAGTAAATCTAGTCAGGATGTGCTTGACGGAGACACTCAATAAAGTTAGAATCGGTAATAATCTGTCAGAAAAATTTGAGGTTCGGTCGGGTTTAAAACAGGGGGATTCCCTTTCGCCTGTCCTGTTCAATTTGGCATTAGAACATGCCATTAGGGAGGTAATGCGTACCGAGAAAGGGTTGGATCTGGGTGGGACAACATCCGTGCTGGGCTATGCGGATGATCTGGTACTATTAAGCGAAGATCTTGAAACTATAAAACTAAATACGACAACGTTAATGAAAGCCGGTAAAGAACTAGGACTCGAAATAAACGTGGATAAAACAAAATATATGGTTAGCTGCAAAAATGGCAATACTACTGGTGATATCGATATAGATGGTAATATATTTGAACAGGTAGATAAGTTTAGGTATCTAGGTTCTACGATAACTAGAAAAAACGAAATTGAAGAAGAAATTAAGGTTAGACTGAAGGCGGGAAATGCTTGTTATTTTTCTGTGACAAAACTACTTAGTTCGCGCCTCTTGTCCCGAAACTTAAAAATTAGAATCTATAAAACAATTATCTTGCCTACAGTTATTTATGGGTGCGAAACTTGGCCGCTTACATTAAGGGATGAGCAGCGTCTTAAGGTTTTTGAAAATAAAGTATTGCGTAGAATATTCGGACCGAAGAAGGATGAGTTAACCGGAGAGTTCAGACGGTTACACAACGCCGAATTGCGTGAACTGTATCCGAGTAATATAATTGAGATAATTTCATCGCGGCGGATCAAATGGCTTGTAAAGTTGTTGGCTTAGTAACGAGAGAATTCCTAAAAGGTTAATATTTGCTGTGCCGAATGGTAAGCGTCCGAGGGGTAGACCGAAGCGAAGGTGGGAAGATTGCATTAAAGCCAATCTGAAGGGACTGGGTTTGGACGGCAAACGATGGAGGGAGGTGTGCAATAAGCGATTGGTGGTGTCGGCATCGAACCTTCGGGTTCGCTAAGCCTTATTATTATTATTATTATTATAGTGATTCCTAACTGGATTTTTTTTTATCATAATTCTGTAACTCCATTTTTTTTCAGCAGATTTCCTTGTTTCTTCGTTATATATATAAAATAAGATATTACACTTTATGTTGTTTTTTTTATCTGGATAAGTTTGAAATTTTGTTCATTCTACTGTTAAACTAATTTCTCAAAAACTGGTAGATTTTCTATTACAAATAATGCCAATATTATTAGACTTTCCGCTTAAAAATAATACTTTCATTTTTTTAATAGCAGTCAGTGTTGGGCAAAATTTATCTTAAATAAAAGATAATAAATAACGAATAATTTATTCGAACTTTTCAACTACAAATAACGAATAATTGTGTTTATCTTTTATCTAGATAATAAATAAATTCAAGTTATCTGTTATCTTTTTATTTGTTATTCGACGTTTTTCCAATAAATTTCGAATAATTTGACGCTAATTTTATTTTTCTTCTATATACGGGCAAATATGTATATTTTCAGATCCATAGTTTTTGAAAATTATCTCCATTTTAAGATTTCACCACTGCATTGCGACTTTTTTGAGTTTTTAGGATTTCTTCCATATCAGGGTTTTTATGAAAATACTGTCGGATTTGAAATAGCACCCCCTCCCCTCCGAACCGAAGTTTTGTAACTTTTCAGATTTAATTGATATGAGGGTCGACTAATATGTTATCAGGGGCCCTTTTTATGAAAATTCTGTCGGATTTGAGATAGCGCCTCCCCCCTCCGAATCGACTTTTTGTAACTTTTCAAATTTAGTTAATATGAGGGTCGAATAATATGTTATCAGGGGCCCTTTTTATGAAAATTCTGTCGGATTAGAAATAGCGCCCCCTCCCGCTCCCCCGACCCGACATTTTGTTACTTTTCAGATTTAGTTAATATGAGGGTCGACTAATATGTTATCAGGGGCCCTTTTTATGAAAATACTGTCGGATTTGAAACAGCGCACCCTTCCCCCCCCCCCGAACCGAAGTTTTGTAACTTTTCAGATTTACTTGATATGAGGGTCGACTAATATGTTATCAGGGGCCCTTTTTATGAAAATTCTGTCGGATTTGAGATAGCGCCCCCCTCCCTCCGAACCGACTTTTTGTAACTTTTCAGATTTAGTTA